GGCCCGTCTGACGCTGTCGGAAGCCGATTGGGAGGCCTCTCTGGGCCGACTTGGGGCATTCTTGAGGTGCTCGACGGCCGTCTTAGAGGCCATCTTGGGCGTCTTGGAGGCCTCTTGGGCCGTCTTCAGGCCCTCTTGGGGCGGTCTTGGGGGCGTCACGGGCCGCCATAGGGGCCATCTTGGAGGCCTCTTGGGCGATCTGGGGGCGATCTTGGGAGCCTCTTGGGCCGTCTTGGGCCGTCGGAAAACAGAAAAGAAGCAAATGCCAAAATCCTTCAAAAACCTACTGGAAAATCAATGATTTTGGCTCGGGCCTCCCTGGAGGACGTCTTGGAGGGCTCTTGGGCCGTCTTGGAGGCCTCTTGCGGGCCTTTTGGGCCGTCGTAGACCATCTAGAGGCCATCTTGGGCCGTCTTGGGTGCATCTTGGAGCCATCTTAGACGCCTTTGAGGCCATTTTGTTGGCTGTCTTGGAGGCATATTGGAGGCCATCCTGGGCCATCTTGGCCGTCTTGGAGGCCATCTTGGGCCAACTTGGGGCAACCAAGGCATTGACGGACGGATTTTCGGGAATCTCCCGGGACCCCGGCGGGACGCGCCGGAGCCCCAGGGGGAGCTCCTTTGGAAAAAGAACTAAAACCAAAACCGATAGGATTCGGCACGCCAGGCACCCCCGCGATGAATCGATAGGGGGCGGCGGATCCTAGCGACCTTCGTCCCATCCCGCCACCGTGCCTGGGTTGTGGGTCTGAGGCCTCTTGCACATGTGTTGGGGTGTCCTCTCGGGGGCCTCTTGGAGGCGGTTTGGGCGCCTCTTGCGGGCCTCTTGGGGCCTCGTGGGGTGTCTTTCTGGGCTTCTTGGAGGGAGGCCTCTTGGGCGCGTCATGGGCTCCTCTTGGGGCCCCTTGTACGAGATCGTGGCGTCGGGGGCGCGAATGTGGGGCGATTTGCAAGGGATCGTGGCTCCGGGGGCGCGAATGTGGCGTAATTTGCGCGGGATCGTGGCCTCGGGGGCGCGAATGTCGTGTGATTTACAACAGACCGTGGCTCGGACGCGCGAACGTTGTGCAAGTTACAAGGGATCGTAGCCTCGGGGGCGCGAGTGCGGCTTCATTTGCGAAGGATCGTGACCCCAGAGGCGAGAACGCGGTGCAATTTACGTGGGATCGTGGCCTCAGGAGCGTGAATATGGCGTATTGTACGAGGGATCGTGGCTTCGGGAATGCGAATACAATGTAATTTTGATGTTTCGCGTGTCCCCACCAGCCGTGTCAGGTGGGGATCGGGCGCGTTCGTTAGCCGACTTCCGGTGTTACCTGATGCGTGGCTTCGCCAGGGTGTGGCCCTGCACCGAGTGGTTCAGCCTTCTGCAGTTCGTGGCCTACCCCGAGCAGATCAGCCTGCGTCAGCCCTCGTCAGGACTTGCATCGTTGTGCCCCCGAACCGCGAGAGTCGGAGACGGTGTGTATGCACTGGCTACAGGCTGGAGAGGCTCTACCTCGCGTGCGCAGACCGGGGTCGCCCCCTTCTCTTGCGAAGGACGGGCTTCAGCCACATCTCTGCGTCAGTGAGTCATGGTAAGTGAGGTCCTTCTCTGCGCCTTCTTTCTGACGCTGCGTGAGCCCCGGCTGGCGTTCGCACTCGCTCGTTTTCTCTTCGCTCTGGCCTCGCTTCCGTGTGTTAATCGGCCGGGGACAGGCGCCGCCAGGGCGACTTCCTCTTGCCGTTCCAGTACCGTCCCTGTGCCGGTCGCCGTGCTCGTCCCCACCCGTCGGGATGTTCGGCTTGATCACCTGGTCACGTTGTGCTGGCTGTTGCCTGGCGCCCTTATGGCGCTTCTCGGCGCCATCTCGCTGCGGTCGCCGCGACTGGTGTTCACTCGCCGGGATGTCTGCGCCGGCCTGGGCGTGTAATTTGGGTCATATTGTCCCTCGCATGTGCATACGCCACTGCGGCCAATTATCTTCGTTTCGCGCCCCGTTCGATGCCCCGCTCCTCGACCTTCGCCTGGGGGCCGCCAGCCAAAAAAAAAGTGCCCCCACCAGCCCATCTAGAAACTATTACCAGGTGATTCGGTTACTCAGGGACGCCTGGAAGCACGCGATCGCACAGCCGTTTTGGAAACGTCAAAAACAAAGACCACGAATAGCTTCGCGCAGTAAAGTTTAAGATGGACGTCAGTGCAATATGCGCCATGGTGTTCCCTGTGGTCAGCGTCTCTGGCGCAGGTTGATGTATCTACGATCCGACGCCAATGTTGCGCAGCTTAGAGTCGCATTTCGATGGACATCATTGATCTTAGCCCGTGCACTGATTTGTACCGTGAACTCGCGTGCGTGTCTAAATTTCTCAGGTGTTGGTGCTGCTGATGATGCTGCTGCTGGTGCTGCTGCTATTGATGCTGTTGCTGCTGTTGCTGGTGTTGGTGCTGATGCTGCTGCTGCTCCTGCTGTTTGTGGTACTCCTGCTGGTGGTGGTGGTGCTGCTGCTGGGACCATCTTGGGGGTAGGAGGAGAAAGGGGAGGCGGAGGAGGAGGAGGAGGAGGAAGAGGAGGAGGAGGAGGAGGAGGAGGAGGAGGAGGAAGAGGAGGAACAACAGAAAACGAGAAGGAGGAGACCATCTTTGGCTTTCTAGGGCCCTGTTGGAGCCGTCTTGGACCATTTTAGACGCTGCTATGCGTCACGCCCAGGTACGCTTCCCGAGCAGGGGGGGAAGGAGATTGGATATCGCAAGGTGTTTGCAGGGCCACTGCTGGGTCTGTGCATGGTCTTGGGGGCCCTCTTGGGGCTCTTTGGGGGGGGGGGTCTGGGAGGCCTCTTGGGGCCGTTTTGGACCCCTTCGCTTAAACATAGGGGAGTCGTATATTTACGCCCCCCCTCCTCGGAGGCCCAAGAGGGGCGTCTCGGGGCCCTCTTGGACCGCTCTTGGGGCGCTCTTGGGGGCTCTTGGGGCCGTCTTGTCTTGGAGCCTTCTCGGGCCTTTCTTGGGGCTATGTTCGGCCATCTTGGGGCCACCTTGGCGCTTCAAGAGCCCATCGGAAGCGAAAAAGCGAAACGGCCAACAACACTGATTTTCCTTGGGTTTTGAACCCATGTTGGCCTCTTGGGGGAATCCTAAGGCACTTGAAACCATCCTGGGGCCGTCTTGAGGCCTCTTGGATGCGTGTTGGAGGTTATCTTGAGCCGTCTTGAGGTATCTTGGGCGATCTTGGAGGCCATCTTGGGATAGCCAAAGCCCTCTTGAAGCTATCTAGGGCCATCTTGGACGCTCTAACCCCTCGCGGGGGAGCCCGTCCAGAACCAGGGAGGGGAGGGGAGGTCAACCTCCCGAGCAGGGAAAGGAAGGAGGTTGGAAAAGGAAACGCTCTAGACCACCTGCGCCCAGAGGGCTGGTGGGACTTACGAGGGATCTTGGCCTCGGGGGCGCGAACACAGCGTAATTTACAATTGGTTATTGCGTCGGGAGCGCGGATCTCACCTATTGAAGGCGGTTTGCGCGCCTTTTGGGGGCCTCTTGGGGCCTCGTGGGGTATCTGTTGGGCTTCTTGGAGGCCTCTTGGGCGCGTCTTGGGCGCCTCTTGGGGCCCCTTCAAGGAAATCGTGGCCTCGGGGGCGCGACCGTGGCGCGATTTGCTTAGGATCGTGGCTTCGGGGGCGCGAATGTGGTGCGATTTGCACGGGATCGTTGCCTCGGGGGCGCGACTGTGGTGTAATTTACCGGAGATCGTGGCCTCGGGGGCGTGAATGTGGCGTAATTTGCAAGGGATCGTGGCCTCGTGGGCGCGACTGGCGTAATTTACGGGGGATCGTGGCCCCAGAGGCGAGAACGTTGCGTAATTTACGGGGGATCGTGGCCTCAGCCGCGCGGAAATTTAATATTTTAGGAGGGATCGTGGCTTCGGGGACGCGAATATGGCGTACGTTACGAGGGATCTTGGCCTCCGGGGCGCGAATCCAGCGTCATCTACGGGGGATTCTTGCGTCGGGAGCGGGAATCTTATGTATTTTTACGTGCCCCACGGCCCCCCAGAAAGTGAGAGCACGGGATTCGGGGATGCTAGCCAGGGTGGTTTCCGGCTCCCCCCCTCGCGCGGACAGTAACCTTGTACAGTAAGAAGCAGAAATCAAAACTAGAATGCTGGAAACTGGAAGTTGGAACTGGTGCAGGGAGCAGCAAGCCTAATCCTCGCAGCCTGATGGCCCCGCAAGGTTGCCGGTGGATTACGAGGTTGTCTTTCTTTCTTTGTTGTCTGATCGTGACAGGGACCATGAGATCTCCCCTGATCTCATGGCACCCTCTTGTTAGTCCAAGACGTCCTTTGCCCCTCCCCCTGGGCGGGCTTCGCACATGCCTCGGGTCGTGAGCTGCTAGCCCCCCTCTTGGACGCCCCACTCTCGGACGCACCCGACCCTTCGGGGGCACGGCCTCGCCAGTACTGCGAAGACGAGTCCAGCCATGGCAACGAGGGCGCCCCAGGAGGCCAACAAAAGGTCCAGCTCCCTCACAATCTGCCTCGAGGTGTAGAAGGAGGAGGTCGAATCTCGGCCCTCGCCGTGGTCCCTCCACTTGGCGGCGTGCCCTGGGGGGAGGGCAGAGGGGGCGGGCCTTCTCAGAAGGCTTTGAAGGCCAGAGGCCTTCAGTGAAGCTTTCTTCCAAGCCTCCTCCGAAACCACAGAAGGCCCCTCAGAAGGCCAGAGGGCTTTGAAACGCCCCGCCGCCTTATGAGAAGGCCTACCCCCTCCCCAGACCACCGACGTTGTGTTTTTTGTTGCGCATCGTGGACCCCCCTGGAGGTCTGGACCACTTCCCCAGAGTTGGCTTTTCATCCCGAGTTGTTTTTGATTGTCCCAGTGCCTGAGAAGGACCCCCGGGGGCTGAAAGTGGCCGAGGACCTCACGTCGTGATCGTTTCACGACTCGAAAGGGTCTGCGTCTCACTGCCCCCCTCGGCGCGCCGCCAATCCCCCCCCCTCTCGGCCCGGCCCGCCGCGCGGCCGCGAGGGGTGTACGACGCGATCGCCGCGCTGCTGGGCGCAGCCCGCGACGAGGCGCTCCCCTCTCCGCGGCGTGCCCGGGCGGCGGCCAGCCGCGCCTCTTGCCTTCATGCAGCAGCCGGCCACCCGTAAGCGTGATCCTCCGCCAGAGGGATCTCTGGTGCGGGCCCATTTCGGCTGCGCGTGAGAGTGACCTCCGTCGGACGGGTGGTAAAGGGGGGGGGACCTGAATGGGGGGTGAAGAGAGGGACCCACGAGGGCGCACTTCGGGGCCCTTTTTGAACCAGCAAGAGCCCCAAAGGGGGGCTCCACAGGGCCCATGTCGGGCCCCCTTCTTCACTCCCACATTCACGTCACCCCCCATTACCACCCTCACGATACGCGTAAGAGTGACCTCTGGTCCCAGACCCGATCGGGTCACGAAAACTCACGACGGGAGGTTTTCCGCTAAGCGGGACGGGGACCGTCGAAAGACGACTCGGGATGGGAAATCGGAAGCCAGTCCCAGATGGGCCGAGACCTCTGGAGGTCGACGTCATGGAAACGTGATGGCGTCGGGGGTATGGGGTGCGGGGCCCTTTCGGGGTCCCCCGATCATTGAGTGCGATGCGATTTGGAGCTGGCTGGGGGTCTGAGCAAGATAGGACTTGTTCTCTGTCGCACCCCTCCTCCTCCGCCTCCTCCTCCTCCTCCTCCTCCTGGTCCTCCCCCTCCCCATCCTCCTCCTCCTCCTCCTCCTCCTCCTCCTCCTGGTCCTCCCCCTCCCCCTCCGCCTCCTTTCCCTCTGGTGTCCTGGTGTCCACCCAGCCGGGGGCCGATCTCCGACCCCGAGGGCAGGCGATCGTCGATCCAGGGCGGAGCGGCTGTCCTGCCCAGGCCGCTCGGGCAGTCAGGGCGCTGGAGCAGGGCCGGCTCTGGGCCCCGGGAGGGGCTCCGATCGCCGGGACGCTCCTCGGACGACGAAAACCTCAAGAGCGCAAGAGCAAGGAAGAGCAAGGACGCGAGGGTACCCTGAGCAAAGTCGCGCGTCCGTATCAGAGTTTTTGACTGTGAAGTCAAAGGGGGAATGGGCTCAATTAGGGGGGGGGCCTGGGTCTCCTGCAGGGTCGCGCGGAGGTGGTCGGCGCTGCGCGCGCCGCGGCCAATGGTCGGAGAGCTGCCCCATCTCCAGGGGGGCGGCGCGAGGACGCGAGTTCCTGGGGGGATTTGCGCGCGGCCGAGGCTCGCCGTGGCCAGAGAGAGCCCCTTCGGTCCTCATGTAGCGTCCCTCCGGTGGTGGCAGAACTCACGAGGGGAGAAGTAGGCACATGCACAGACAGGCACTGATCGGGGCGAAGATACCGGAACATGTCAGAAACGGGGTGAGGAGGAAACTGCGGGAGGTATGAGAGGCCCTGTGGGAATCCTGGAATCTGTGCCGATCTATCTGTGTCTCCCTGGGCCCCTTCAGCGTTGGTTTGCAGCTGTTCTTCATGTGCTGCGTCGCCGAGCGGCGTGGGCCCCTGGCTCACCTCCTCCCTCCCCCTTCACGGGCCAGCTCTTGGCTGGCTCTTGCGGCTGGTTTCTGGCGATAGGGTCAGGACCCCCGCACCCAGCCTGCCTGCGCGAGCGGCAGAAGCAGATCGACCAAGCTCAGGCCCAGACCCAGACCCCCATCTTTTCCCCCGCCCTCGGGCCCAACGTCGGAACCCAGAACAAGGGACCGCTCCCCGGTTCTGCCTCTCCGGGCCCCTTCGGCGATGGCTTCTGGTTGGGCTGGCGCAGGCGGGCCTCGGCCTCGGCGGACCGCGGCGGTGCTGGTGGCCTCCGGGGCCGCCGGTCGGAGCTCGGGGCGCCAGCGCTCGGAAGAAGAGCCTCCGGGCGCGCAGACAGCTGGCCTGCCCCGGCTGGGGGGTGCAGCCTCCCTCCCCTCTGCGCCAGGAAGGACAGGGGCTCCTGAGGGCATTGGAGGCCTCGGGCGTTTTTTTCTGTTGCTGGCTTCCCGGGGCCCTCTGCGGGCCCCGGGACTGTCCCAGAAGGGCTCAAACTGAAACATCGGTTTTGGGGAAGGCCCAGGTGTGCAGGGCCCGTTTCCCCCAGGACCCGGCTCTGTCTTGCCGAGAAATCTTGGCGTTGCATTCTTTTCAAAACCGGCGTTTTTGCAGAGTGCCGGGCCTCGGGGCCCTCACGGGTCGATCGGGGTCGAAGCATCGCGCAGAAAGATGGGGTCCAAGGCTCCAGTCGCGATTCTTTCCGAACGAACGAACGAAATACCATACGCCGGAGCGCGTGGGCAAAAGAGGACCATGCCAGCCAAGGCTCACCGCTTAGCGGGGGCGGCTGCACGTCGGCTGCCTCTTAATTCACACCGTGCGCTGCTTGAGGACAAGGGGGGAGAGGGGGAGGAGGAGGAGGAGGAGGGAGACACGCAACATCAATCACAAATCTGCGCCAGGCTGCTGGCTCACATACGCGCTGCATTATTGCCTCGTCCGAAGAAAAATGCGGTGCGACAACTTTGTACAAGCACTGCGCCCATGCATTTTTTGGCCGGCCTCGTGCTCGGGCACATGCGTCTGTAGCTGGCCGCGCGCTTCCGGGTTGGAAGGTGAGGCGGCGCAGAAAATCAAAGTTTGTCGCCCTACATATTTTCCCATACCACAACAGCTGATGCCTCAGAAGTTGCACTGTGTAGCGCTGTTGGCCTGCTTGCAACAGCACTTGTTCGTTAGATACTCTTGAAATGTATGCGTGAGGAATGTGCAGGATTCGACGTAGGCACCTCGCTTGGAAACCGTCCAATCTTCTGCGTTCAGCTTTGTTGAGCCATGCCGAATTCAGCGAATACATGACCTTACTGGTCACCAGCGCTTGAAATACTTGAAGCTTTCTGGTAGTACTGATTGCCGCATGCTTCCAGGCGCGGTGTCTGCAGAACTCACCCCATGCGGCTCCTAACCTCTTTCCCAACTCCCCGCGCAGCTGGCCAGACATTGAAAGCGTGGCCCCGAGGTAGACAATTGTGTCTTTTGCTGGGATTTGCTCGCCAGAGGGCGTCAAGAGCGACATGTCGCAACGAACCGGCATGAGTTGAAATTTATCCCAATGTAGTTCCATGCCAACTCGTGCACCTGCTTTAGAAATCGCGCCCAACAGACTTTGTAGATGGTGTGGATTGCGACCCACGAGCAAGGTGTCATCCGCGTACAACAATATACTCAAGGACCCGTCTGCTAAAGCTCGTCGTACTTCCGCGTCTCCGTGGTGTGTGGCGCTCCGCAGTACCATCGTCATTACCATAATGAATAAGAACGGCGAAAGTGGGCAACCTTGTGATATCCCAGATAATAGCTGTCTTTCTGATGACCGGTGTCGTCCATCCGCCACGCTGAATTTTCTGCCCTCGTAGATGTGGCCAATAATTGTAAGGACGCGCCGAGGGGCTCCAAATTTGTGCAAAGCTTCCAGCAGCGCCTCGACGTTCAACGAGCCGAAAGCTTTCTTCCAATCCAAAGCGACAAATGCAATACCTCCTTGTTTGTGTGCGTAAGCCAAATCAATATACCGGCGAACAGCGTGTATAGCATCCGATGTCCCGCGCTCTCGTCGTAAACCAAATTGCGTTGGCGATAATTTGTCCTCTGCCCCTGCGTTTTGTAGACGCCGAAGAATAAGACCAGCTATGAGCTTGTACGCGACGCAGAGTAGGCTGATAGGGCGGTAGTTCTCGCAGTTGTCGACGGCCCCTTTGTTTTTATATATCGTTGAGATAATCGATTTCTTCCAATCGTCCGGCACGGCCTCCTCGTTCCAACATTTGTTGCACAGGTCTGTAATCCACTCCAGTCCGCCTGGGTCTGTAGCAATAGCCTTCCAGTACTCTGCTGGGATATCGTCAACACCATATGCTTTGCCACGTTTGAGCTGCTTGATTGCTTTGCCAACCTCCTCTTTCGTAAAGTCTGCCTCTGAAACTGGCAATGGATCTCCAGGTGAGACGTCTAGAAGCTCTGCTGTCCGTACTTTCCACTGCACTTTCTCCAGGTATTCAGCCATTGTCTCTGCTCTTTGTATGTTTTCCACTAACTCCCCACTCATATTTCTTAGCCTCCCTTGGCGTCGTGGCTTAGGCCGGCAATGCTTTTTCAGAGCGTCCCAGCTGCCAGTCGAAATTTGCTCATCAACCCAGACTGTTTTATCTTGCTTGCACGCGTTGCGCACCGCTTTCATCAATCTTCTCTCCTCGGTTATGTCGTTGGCCACTCGGGCCTCGGTACGGCGGCGGATTAGACCAAGAGTGCGTTGTGTAATCCATGGCTTGATGCTCTCCTCCTGGCGCGTCGGGAGCGCGCTGGCAGCAGTTTGCGTTGCTGTTTTTCCTCTTTCCCACATGTCTTGAATATCAGCTGGCGGCCCAGGAAACGATGAAATTGTTCCCATAAATTTGCTCACATATGCCTGCAGTACTCGTGGGTCTTGCATGCCATTTCTGTTCGGCCGTCCCGTTTCCCGCGGTTTCTGTATGGAAGATTGTATAGCCATGTCTGCCACAACCAAATAGTGGTCTGTAGCCAGGGCCGCTTCCCGATGACTTCGTAGCGCAACGACTTGATGCCGCAAATGTGCGTCACATAATAGTAAGTCCAAAATGTTGTAGCTGTCTTCTGCTATGTCCCCCATTGGCAGGGCACCCGCTTCCATGAACGTGATTTTTTCTTCCAATGGTTGCGAAATAAATGTATTTACAATTTGTAGGTCACCACTCGTGCAGAACTCCATCATCAGATCCCGGTTCGGCTGCTCATCTTCGTGCTGTGCGCGACGTCCCCATCCAAATTCTCCCAAAACAGCGTCTTCTCCTGGATCAGCTTTCCCCACTCTGGCGTTGAAGTCGCCAATGATGAGCTTGCCAGCGGCGGCATTGCACGACCAGTATGTCGAATCCAACGCTGTGTAGAAATCGCGTCTTTCATGGAGCGGCTTGATGTTGTGAGGCGCGTATCCGGTGATAATGGCCAGCGCCCCCATGCCAGTTCTGATCTTTAGCCAAGCCAGTTTGCCTGATGTTTGTTTATATGCTTTGACTCTTCGTCGGCTTGCTGGTGAAATGATGTATCCAACGCCTGTCCAAGTACGCTCTTTTGTGTCTTCGCCGGACAGGATAATCTTGTACCCGTCGACCTCGTAAACTTCTGCTTTTGCGCGGCGGGTTTCCTGTAGAGCTAAAATGCCAATGCCACGCTTGTCCATATGCGATATAATTTCAATAGTTCTTGTATCAGTAAGTCCTCGAACGTTCCATGACGCCACTTTGATTGCAGTCGTGTCGTTGCTGGGAGGGGGAGGGGGAAGGGGAGGGGGAGGGGGAGGGCAGTCCTGATGCAGCTGTTCGTCAACATCCGTAATATTAGTGTCTGTTTGATTACCAAATCCGGTGGACTTCGTTCTTGGGACACTTCTGGTTTTGGTAATTTTGCCCTCTTCCAGCGAGCGTCCCAAAGGCGATACGGAAGAATACGGATATTGGTCGGGCAGAGGGCGTTCACATCTACGATCCTCATCGCAGCGGGGCCATTTGTGTTGAGCGAGGGGTGAAACAAGAGGTCGATTGAGCTCATTGCCTTGTGCACGGCGGTGGCTCGGAGGCTGTAGCGAAGATGAAGTAAGAGAAGAATATGTAGGAGAATATGCACGCGACGTGGTATCTTTGCCCAACTCCGGTACACTCGCTCCTGTAGAAGGTCGGGGTTCGAAGCAAGGAGGACATAGGTAGTCTTGCGCCACCTCCCCGATGCGGTTGTGCACTCTCTCGGTGTTCGACTCCGTGACTTTGTCCGCGGATGCGGCTAGAAGACTGAGAAGACCCAGGCGTCGGTGATGACGTAAGCGACGAAGAAGCAAGAATCCTTGGGTATGCATCTAAATCCAGATACTGAGAACTCGATCTAGGAGCGCTCTCGGCCGTGGTATCTTTGTCCACTCCCGGAAAGGATCCAAGATAGGAAGCGGGAGGGGTCGGAGGTCGGGCATGTGATACTACGCTTGGGTGAGCGTGCCCATGATGAGGTTGATGGGCTTCTTGCTCTTCTGCAAAGCGACCACGAGGGCGAACAGAAGTGGCATAAGGCCGTGCAGCCGGCGTGGTATCTTTGCCCAGATCGGATGCTCGTCTCGATGGGGGGAAGGCGGGGGCGGGGCGGGGTGGGGGGCGGGGCCGAGGCGGGGGGGCGAGGGCAGGGCGGGGGGCGGGGCGGGGGACGGGGCGGCGGGCGGGGGCGAGGTTGGGGAGGCGACCTTCGAGATGTGTAGCGGTGTCGGCTGCGGCGTCGGTAATAGAAGGGTTTGTGGTGGTAGTGTCTGCCAACGCCTGCCGTAATTCCTACTTCGATCCCTTTGATATACTTTTAGCCCCGCCTTTCCGATTCATCGCGGCACGGCTCACGATCCCATCGCAAGCTGCATTAAGTTCCTGGAGTTACGGGTGGTCTTGCAACTCTTGCCATTCAAGCTTGTCTTTGGTCCAATCTCGGCGAATCGTGTCCCCATCAATGGTAACTGTAAGTGCTAAATCTCCTCCAACCGTGACCGAGTAAGGCTGAGTACCGTCGTCCACCCTAATTGGCCAATCGATCCCCATTGTGTCTTTTTAGCATATGCTTGACTCCGAAACACAAGTTGCGGGCCGCTCGGACCAAAGGCGGGCGATCGGGAGATGCCCATATATGCTTACCATTTCTTGGGAGTTTTGCGTTCCGTAGCTGGCCGACCGCTGTGTCCTTCTCACCCATCGTCTCGAACTCTATGAACAAAATGTTCTGGATGTCCCTTTTGGCATACATATTTGTGGGTGTTGGTGCTGATAGTTTTTGCAATTCCTGCTTGATCCAGTCCCCGGCGGCGTCAAGAGAATCAAAACCATCCAAATTACCAACCACCGCTGTGATAGCTCTTTTATCGTTGGTGGGGTTGCCAATGGAGGATGGATGTCGGGCTTGTGACGCTCCTGACATCGATCTCGGCGTAATGTTTAAATTTTGCATGTCCTGTTTCATCTCCTTGATGGCGGTTTTCCATGTTGGTTGCGCGTATTTGCAAATCTTCAACGTCTGTGGTAACCGTGTCCTGCAGTTGCTCAAGCTCCTTACGTAATGGGTCCACTGTGCTCTTGAGATCTTCGTGTGAAACGCCGTGCTGCTTGATGGCCCGGATGTCACTTTTGATCGGCTCCAGATGCTTGTTCAGAATGGCCTCGAAAGCAGCCGCGGTAATACCTGTGCCCGACGCCTCTATGAGGTTGCCTTGGAATCGTTGTTGGCGTTGCTTGGTTTGTGCATCAGCCCCGTCGTCTGGAAGCTGAATTAGATCTGCTGCTGGTCGTCCTGGCTCCGCTGGTCCTGCGGGTCCCTCTTCCAGCCCATCCATCTCGTTCAGCGGGCTACTGACACGTGCCGTTTTTGCTGCACGTGTAGGCGGCGATGTGGGAGATTGCGGCGAAGCGATGTCGTGCTTCTCTGGTTGGAACAGCTGCTTGACCGGGGTACCTGAAGCAGGCATGGATGCGGATTCGAAGAGTAAGGGGAAAGTGTAGAGTGAACGCGAAAAGTAGGAGTAAGTGAGAACTGGAAGCTTTGGTATAAAAGGTTTCTGGAAGCCTTGGTATAAAAGGATTCTTTCCGATGTGACAGTTATTTGTGCAGCGTCAGATCTGAGGGTCTTCGCTTCCTCCTTCCCCTCCCTGCGCCTGCTCGTCCTCCCCGCCTCCCTCACCGCCATCGTCCTCGTCATCAGCGTTGTCCTCGTCCTCCTCACCCTCCTCGCGAGCGGGGACTTGGATGCTCCTCGTGCGCTCAGAGTGTGGGGCGAGACTTGCGACGCAGACGAGACACGCTCCTCCTCCCTCTCATCCTCCTTACCTTTCCGCAGCCGTTTTGGCTCAAGTCGCGCGCTTCTGCGCCGGAGAGAGTCGGCTATACGTGAGAGTGGCCCTTCGTCAGAGTGACCCCTGGTGCGTGGCAGTCGGCGGGCCCGAGGGGGCGGGCGCACACCCGAGCGCGCGAGCCGCCTTTGTCGCATCGCCAGCAGCGATCGGCAAGCCACGTAATTACTAGAGGTCACTCTCTCCCTGGGGCCACTCGCCCCCAGACCCCCGCCATCGTGATTCGTTCACAGCACGGTCCACCGGAGGGCTCGGCCCCTCCCCTGCGATCTGTTTTCCATCTGGGGTACGTAGTTTTTGTTTGACGGTCCCGTGGCCCGGAGAGGGCCCCCAGAGGCCGAAAATGGCCGACGACCTCCCTTCGCTATTGCTTCGCGGTTCGAGGAGGCATTTTTTATTTTTCGGCGATAGCTCGGGTTATCGGGGTGGGGCGCCGGCCGACAACCTAACCTTTTCGCTTTGAACAGCCCCACGTATGCCGGCGCGCACCGATACGCTGCGTACCCACCTCGGACCTGCGCAACCGAGAATTGTCGACAAGGTTAGGTTATCCAGAGGGGGGATGGGGGTGGCGGGCGATCCCGATAACTTGGGGCATCGCCGGATCTTCTAAACAGCAGTCTCGAGGGGGTCTGGAACCCGCGCTCGGCCGAGAGCTGCCCGCCGCTGGCAGGATGCTCCGGTCCCGCGCCACGCTGCCGGGGCTTGCGCTCACGGCCGCCGCGTGCCTGCTGGGTGCTCGCCTCGCCTTCGTGCCGGCGCCCGCCGCCCCAGCCGCCGCCCAGGTGGCCGCGAGTCCGTCGGTCGATCGATGGAGGCTGCCGTCACAGCCGGGAACTCGGGTTTGCCGTCGATTGATCGATCGAGCGCTGTGGGAGGAAGCAAAATTTGAGTTCGCTGGATCTCGGGTTTGCCCGGGCTCTTTTGGACGGGCTGGACCTGAGTTTGGACGGTCTTATTTTCATGGGATACTTGCAGCGGGAGCTCGCGTCAAACTTCAGACTGGGTCTCGTCACTTCGCTGACGGTCTCATCAGGCCAGCCCGAGTCCTCCAAACCCGAGTCTTACGCCTCCCCGAGCGATGCGCGGGGCAGCCGTCACGGTTGCCGATCGATCGAGGGGTCCGATGTCGAGAGGTTATGTTCCGACGCGGGGATCTATCCACAACCACCGCTTGATCGGGGATCGAGCTCTCGGGGGCCCAAGCGTGCCTGGACATACTCGGGCCCTGGTGGGGCCACAAGCATCCACATCCACCGCCTGCCGAGGCCCCCGAAGCTGGATCCCCCAGGCGGTGATCACGGACGAGCGCCCTCCTCGCATCCTTCGCTCGTCGCGGCCCCCGGGGAGCCTCGGGGCCCTCAGAGGTGCGGCCAGGACGAGAGGATTGTCGGGCCACGACTCTTTTGCGTCGTCGTCGTGGTGCAAGTCGTCGTCGAGGCGGCGGCGCTGCGCGGGGTTGCCGCCGTGGCCGCTTCCGCTGCTACTTCGTTGCCCGCGCTGGCGGAGCCGGACGAGCTCGTGGACTACAATTTTGCGGGCGAGTTCACGCCGTTCTTGATCATCGGGCATTCTGGGGCAGTTCAACCAGAGGACCAAACAGTTTCCTTTGAGTTTCTTATGCTTTTTGTCCCTCGTGGGGGCTTCTCGTCGAAGCGGCTGGATCCGCCTCGAAAGACGGCCAGGATGGACCTGGAGAGGGGTCCAGGGACAGGTTTTGAACTCACGGAGGTTCGGGGTTTGAGATGTGAGGAGGTTTTCGTATGTTTTCGGTGGTTTCCCAGCCTCGGGGTGCACTCCAGCAGCTGCTGCTGCTGCGAGCAGCCCGGGGGGGTGCATCGGCCCCCGGCCGCCCATTTATCGCAGATAGGGGTTTGATGGCCCACCCCGCCCAGGAACGTGCGGTCTGAATGTGGGTGGCCTATCGTCGATCTATTGGCGATGTCGATTCCAGGTCGATGTTTCTCCCCTTGAGCTGGTCCCCCTATCGATTTCCCTCAGGTACTTCACGCTCACCACCGCCCTCACGGGCTTCTCCTTCGTCTCGTACCTCGTACTGACGAAGCTCAAGATCATCTGAGAGTGCCGGGGTCATTCTGTGCTGGTCATTGGCACCAGGCAGATTTTTTACGGTGGGGCCAGCTGATTGGATGAAATGTCCATTCTTTGCTAGACACGTTGAGAGTCAGATCGTGATCTGATCATTTTGTATGCAGCCGCACGACTCATAGCGACGGTAGCCAGCCCAATTTGCAAGAGGGGCATAACCTAAGCTCGATGTCGGTTGCGAGCTTCGATGTGCGGCATCAGAACAGCTGGCCGTCATTCCCCAATCAGTGCTTGAACTGAAGGGGTCCTCGCGGATGTTGCTAGAGTTGGCGAAAGTGCCTCGCCGATTTTGGTTGCACGCTGGGTTCCCGTGTTCCCTGTTCCGTGTTCCCGGGTTCCCAGGTTCCGGGGTTCTTGGTCATTGGTTCCAGGCCGATGGTTCATTACCGATCTCATTGTCGAGTTCATTACGGATCTCATTGGTTCCCCGGTTCCGGGTTCCCGGGTTCTCGATCATTGGTTCCGGGCCGATGGTTAATTATCGATCTCATTACCGATCCTATTGTCGAGTTCAGTACGGATCTCATTCAATGTTCCCCAATCAGTGCTCGCACTGAAGGGGTCTCGCGGATGTTGAAGGATTTGACGAAAGTGCCCCGCCGATTTTGGTCGCACGCTGGGTTCCCAGGTTCCCAGTTCCGGGTTCCCGGGTACGTTCCCGGTTCCAGGTTCCGGGCCGATTTCGGATGGCGGCGAGGTTCCCGGGTTCCCGGGTTTTGGTCGATCTTCTTATCGATCGGTCTTACTATCGATCTCATCAATTACCGACTTCTCGATCGATCTCACCGTCGATCTCATAATCGATCCCATTATCAATCTCACAAGCGATCTCACTAGAGATCGCATGAGCGATCTCGCGATCGATCTCACTATCGATTTCATTGAATCGATTTCACTCTCGGTCACACGATCGACCTTACAATCGTCCTCACTATCGATTCCATTATCGATCTCATTATCGATCTCATAATCGATCTCAAGATCCATAGTACCAATTTTCAAATCATCCATTGATTGGGAGCCCTATCGACCAAACACACGGGGCAGCGCATCTGTCAGCACCACCCGTCGGGGCCCTCAAAACCGCCTCGGGGGGCGCTCTTGGGCGCTCTTGGGGCTGCATGTGTTTGATGTGCCTTGGGTTTTGGAAGGAGTTTGGCCTCTCGGGGGGGGGGGTCCTTGGGAGGCTCTGTGGCCGCTTTGGACCGTCTTGGAGCGGCATTGGAGCTTCTCGGAGGCATCATGGAATTTATCCTGAGCCATCTTGGGCTATATTTGGCGATCCTAGGGCCCGTTTGGAGCCATCGTGGGCCATCTTGGACGCTTCAAGGTCTCGCAGATCGCCTCCTCGAGACTCAGAGAGAGAGAGAGAGTACGGGGAAGAAACCACCTTCGCCTCAAAAGGCTTGCGGGATTCCGGACCTTTCAACTCGGCGCCTGCGTTTCCGCTTGCGCCCGCGACGGAAAAAGTAGCCCCACTAGCCCGTACAGAAAGATGCCTGGTCAAGGCCTCGCGCATGATTGCGATTCTTATTTTCGCCTCAGCGCGGGCCGCGCCCCCGATTCGGAATGCTGCTCTCGTATGGCGCTGATCGAAAACATGATGGCGAACGCTCTCATCGCCTGTGCTGTTTCGGCGCAGGCCGCACCCTTGATTGGGAATGCCGCTCCCGCCTTGATTATAGATTGTACCATCAATGGGGCGCCCGCCACATCTTGATTGCAAACACCGTTCTCGCCACAGGGGAAGACGCAGCCTCACAAGCCTATGGGCTGCGCAAGCTTCCTGATTGCGGCCCCATCCGCGGTCAGTTTGGCACCACGGTGCCACTTGGGTTTCTTCGCTTTGTGCTTCTGTATCGTAGATGTGGGCTGGTGGTGCCGCTAGCAGTGTTGCGCATGGTGCTGCTGGTTTCCGTCGTGCTGGTCACAGTGGTACTGCTTCCGGTGATGCTCCTCACACTGGTATTCTTCGTTGCGTTGGTGCTGCTGCTCGTGTAGTGCTGATGTTTCCCGTCGGGCTTGTCGCAGTGGTGTTGCTGATGATGTTTGTAGCGCTATTCGCTATTCGTTATGTTGTGTATTCACTTCGTGCTGGCCACATTGGTGCCCCTGGAAGCGTTGCTGCTGCTTCGCGTAGTGTTGCTGCCTTTGGTGATACTCGTCATACTGCTCGTTGTGCTTGTGCTGGTGTGCGTAATGTCGTTGTTTCCTGTCGGTCAAACTGGGGCTGCTGGTGGCACTGATAGTGCTGCGCGTGATGCTGCTGCTTCCCATCCTGCTGGTCAAATTGGGGTTGCTGGTGGCGTTCGTGCTGCTGTGAATGGTGCTGCTGGTTTCAATCCTGTTGGTTGCAGTGGTGCTGCTGGTGGCGTTCGTGCTGCTGCGCTTGGTGCTGCTGTTTCCCGTCGTGCTGGTCATTGTGGTGTTGTTGGTTACGCTTGTGCTGCTGGTTACCGTTGTGCTGGTCACGCTGGTGCTGCTGTATGCGCTAGTGCTGGTGCGCGTGGTGATGCGTCCTGTCGTGTTGGTCGCGCTGGTGCTGCCGCTGGCGCTAGTAGAGCTGCGCGTGGTGCTGATACTTCTTCGTCATAGTGCTACAAGTTGACGCGCTTGTGCTGCTGCGCCTGGTGATGTTGCTCGCTGTCGTGATGGCCGCAGAGGTGCGACAAGCGGCGCTCGTGCTGGTCACATGGTTGCACTGCTGTTGGTGGCGCTCGTGCTGTTGCTGGTGGTGTTGCTGATTCCTGTCATGCTGGTCGCACTGATGCTGCTGGTTGTGCTGGCGCTGCTGCGCGTAGTGGTGCTATTCTCTGTCTCGCCATTTACAGAAGCCCTGCTGGTGGTGCTGGTGCTGTTGCGAGTGGTGCTGATGCTTCCTGTCGGGCTGGTCACAGTGGAATTGCTCGTTGCGCTCGCTCTGCTCTTGCTGTACGCCCGACGCGTGGCGGCTCGCAGATGCCGCAGCGGGCACTGGTGACGCCGGCAGCGCGGCGGCTGGGGGACGCCCCACGACGATGGCGTTCGGAGTGCTCTGCCCGGGGGCCGCAGCTGGCAAGGTTAAGCGCCGCTGCTGACCGGGCAGTGCCCCGGTGCTAGGCGTTGGAGGTGCTGGGCGGCGACAGGCGGCGGGCGCTGACGGCGGGCCCATGACGAACCATCACACCGTCGTCGCGCTCGCCGTGGCGCTCTCGAGTAGCGCTGGCATTCTAGGCCACAGCTGGCGCAATTTTTCCTGCTGGCAGCTCGGGCCAGGGCCGAGCAGCAATTGCTCCCAGGGGTTGGGCTCGCACCGGCTCCCAGCCAACCTTCGCGCGGACGGACTACGCATCTCTCCTCTTGGGCGTCCCCAGTTTCCAGCGCAAAATCGAATGATCTGGGCCATGATGTTTTGCGCTGGAGTGCAGGAGCGCCTCCTCCCCCGCCAGTCTGGCCAGCAGGGGGGGCGGGAACGCTCGCGAAGTCCAGGGCAAATCGCCTGGCGCTGCTGGTTCCCGTCGTGCTCGCTTTAGTGGAACTGTCGTCAGCGGTTGTGCGATCCTGTCGTGCTCGTCACAGTGGTGCTGCTCGTTGCGCTGGCGCACATGCGCGTAGATCTGCTGCTTCCTGTCGTGCATGTCACACTGCCGCTGCTGGTGGCGCCTGTCTGCTTCGCTTGGCGTTGCTGCTCCCCGTCGTGTTCGTTGCAGTGGTGCGGCTGGTGGCGCTGGTGCTGCTGCGCTTGGTGCTGCTGCTTGCTGCCCTGCCCGTTACAGTTGTGCTACTAGTGGTGGTGACGCTGCTTCGCGTGGTGCTGCTGCTCCCCATCGCGGTTGTCATACTGGTGTTGCTAGTGCCGCTCGTACTTTTGCGCGTGGCAGTGCCGCCTGCTGCCATGCTGTCCGCAGAACTACAAGTTCGATGTCGTGCTGGTGGTGGCGTCGATGCTGCTGTCGTGATCATCACAACGAACTTACTAATTACGCTAGTATAAAACTGACGCGCGTGATACAATTAATATATATGTTATTTAATCGCTTCGCTCATTCCGCCGGCCCGTATTGTGCCATCGCGGGTTCTTGGGGGGTCTTGGGAGCCCTTGGAAGTTTCGTGGGAGCTTCTTGGGAACTTGGGAGGCCTCGTGGATAGCTCTGGGTGGGCCCTCTTGGTGGTCTCTTGGGGGGATCTGCCTGGCCTCTTGGGGGCCTCCTGGGAGCTTCCTGGGGGTCTCTTGGGGGCCTCTTGGGGCTTTCTTGCGGCCTGTTGGGGGCCTCTTGGGGCTCTCTTAGGGGCTTCGTGGGGCTACTCGGGGGCTTGTAGGGGCATTTCGGGGGCGTGTTTGGGCGGGAGGCTCAAAAATTCTGTTCAGGTTGCCCCTGTGGACCTCAATCATGGGGCCGTCTTGGGGCCTCTTGGACCGACTTGAGGGTTTCTTGGGCCCTCTTGGAGCGCTCTTGGGCCGTCTTTGAGCGGTCTTGAGGGTCTCTCGGGCCGTCTCGGGGTGATCTTGGGGGCCTCTTGGACCGCCTTGAAATGTGTGAAAGACGAAGAGGCGGATATGTCTAAAATGCACGCTTTCCTAAGGGAATGAGACGATTTTTGCTTGTGGGAGCCCTCTTGGGACGCCACTTAGGGACCTCTTGGGGCGTCTTGAAGGCCTGTTGGGCCGTCTTGAGGCTATCGTAGGCGCTTGGGGGTGATATTTCGGCGTCCCCCGGCTCTCTTGGACCGTCTGGAGGGCTTCTCGGGCCCCTCTTGAACCGATTTGGAGCCCTCCTGGGCTCCGAAAAAGAGTTCTTGAGGGTTTCTTGGGCCTTCTTGGAGCGCTCTTTGGCCGTCTTTGAGCGGTCTAGAGGGTCTCTCGGGCCGTCTTGGGGTGATTTTGGGAGCCTCTTGGACCGCCTTGAAAGGTGTGAAAGACAAAGAAGCGGATATGTCAAAAATGCACGCTTTCCTAAGGGAATGAGACGATTTTTGCTTGTGGGAGCCCTCTTGGGACGCCGCTCAGGGACCTCTTAGGGACCTCTTGGGGCGTCTGGAAGGCCTGTTGGGCCGTCTTGAGGCCATCGTAGGCGTTTGGGAGTGATATTTCAGCATCTCCCGGCTCTCTTGGACCGTCTGGAGGGTTTCTCGGGCCCCTCTTGGACCGATTTGGAGCCCTCCTGGGCTCCGAAAAAGAGTTCTTGAGGGTTTCTTGGGCCTTCTTGGAGCGCTCTTGGGCCGTCTTTGAGCGGTCTTGAGGGTCTCTCGGGCCGTCTTGGGGTGATTTTGGGAGTCTCTTGGACCGCCTTGAAATGTGTGAAAGACGAAGAAGCGGATATGTCAAAAATGCACGCTTTCCTACTGGAATGAAACGATTTTTGCTTGTGGGAGCCCTCTTGGGACGCCGCTTAGGGACCTCTTGGGGCGTCTTGAAGGCCTGTTGGGCCGTCTTGAGGCCATCGCAGGCGTTTGGGAGTGATATTTCGGCGTCTCCCGGCTCTCTTGGACCGTCTGGAGGGCTTCTCGGGCCTCTCTTGGACCGTTTGGAGCCCTCCTGGGCTCCGTAAAGGGACCTTGCCGGGAGTCTGCCGGGAGTCTGCTGGGAGTCTGCTGGGACCTTGCCGGGAGTCTGCCGGGACCTTGCCGGGGTATTTTTCGTCCGGGGGCCCCCAGGGCCCGCCTCGCGCGCGCGAACTAGAAATATTGTTGAGCAGTTACCGGAGATCTTAGCACGCTTCTGGCCCGTTGGGCCGGCGAATTTGTAAAAGTGATACTACTGGTTACACTAAAGCGTCTGCGTGTCGTGCTGCTGCGCCCCGTGATGTTCGTCACCGTGGTGCCGCTTATGGCGCAGGTGTTTTTGCGCGTGGTGCTGCTGTTTGCTGTCGCATTGGTCGCAATGGTGCTACTGGTGGCGCTTGTGCTGCTCGCACAACAGCTGCTGGTCGCGCTGATGCTGCTGCGCTTGGTGCTTCTGCATCCGGCAATCCTCGGCACAGAAGTATTGCTGGTGGCAGTGGTGTTGCGCGTAGCGGTGCTCGCCTTTGCCTTGTTATTCACAGTTGTGCTGCTGGTGGCGCTGGTGCTGCTGCTGGTAGTGATGCTATTTCTTGTCGGGTTGGCCACAGTGGAACTGCTCGTTTCGCTCGTGCTGCTGCTGCTGCTGCTGCTGCACGACCGACGCGTCGCGGGTCATCGCGCGCATCTCCGCCAGGGCGCGGGAGGTCGGTGCGAGGGGTTAGCAGCAGTTGCCAGTGGGACAGGCTGTAGGCTCTGCCCTGGGGCGCCCTCGGTGTCCAGCGCAAAATCGAAAGATCTGGGCCGTGACGCTTTGCGCTGGAGTACCGGAAAAGTTCCCCCCCCGCCAGACACCCCCCCACCCCCTCCCTGCATCACCTGTTGGCGCCTATGCGCCAAGGCTTGATTGAGAAGCGATGTGCGGATTAAGTCGGGCCTGAGCAATATCCAAAAAGAGTTAAAACATAGTATGGGGACGAGATTCTTTTTATGTTTGAGAATTTGTCTTCGGTTCTTTTTTCTATTTTTATCATTCGTCCACAAACCGTCTGTAGGGGGGCACGCCCAACGTAAATTGCGGAATGGAACAAAACAAAGAAACACGTGGGGTGAACCGCAGTGGATCGCAACACGAAGGCCATATCAGCGCTTCCTTTACCTGGATTCGGTGAAGTCGTCTGCGAAATATTCATCACATCCACAGTTGGAAATGAGGAGTAAGTACGAAACCTTTCACGGCAGTATTTCTTGTATACAACATGGCCGATTCCGAATGTTTGTCATGTAGCAGTTGAAATCATCGCATTTTGATTTTGATGTGTTCGGTGGTAATTCCTCATATGGTAGCTTCGCGGTACACGCGTTCCAGCTATCCGCATGTACCAATCATCTGAACGACGTACATCTTCTTCTCGAGCGGACTTCGGTTACCTGTTCAACCTCGGTCTAAACCCACCTAGAGTCCCCGATTGGCGGGTGAACAATCCGACGCTTTGGGACTTGGGCGTCTCTGGCCTGCGAGGGTGTGGGGGCGCTCGAGGAGTCCAGCGCGAATCGCCTGTCGCTGCAGGCTCCCGTCGTGCTCGTTCACATGGAACTGTTAGTTGTGCATGTGCTGCTGCGCATGGCGCTGCTGTTTCCAATCGCGTTGGTTACAGTGGTGTTGTTCGTGGCACTGGCGCTGCGCCGCGTGGCGTTGCTGTTCCCCGTTGTGCTCGTCACCGCGGCGCTGCCAGTGGCGCTGGTGCTACTACGTTTGGTGTCGTTGCTTAGTGTCGCCGCGGTCACTCAAGTGTTGCTGGTCGCACTTCTGCTGCGTCGCGTTGTGATGTTGTTTCTATTGGTGGTCGTCGAAGTGTTGCTGCTGGTGCGCGTTGCGGAAGAGGTATTATTGGTGTCGCTTGTGTTGTTTGCATTACTGCTGGTGGTGGCGTTGGTGTTGTTGTGCGTGGTGTTGCTGCTTATGGTGTTGTTCGTCCTGGTGGTGTTGCTCGTTGCGCTAGACACTTCGCCCCCCACGATTACGACGGAAATTCTCGCTTCACCGCTGGCCACATCCACGGTCGCGATTGTTGCTTTGGCTTCAGCCTTGGCCACACCCATGCTTGCGAATGTTGGTTTCGCCTCAGCGCTGGCCACACATTTGATTACGAGTCGTGATGTCGCCAAAGCACCGGCCACACCATTGATTGCGAACGTTGTTCTCGCTGCATTGCCAGCCACATGCATGATTGCGAACGTTCATATCGCTTCAACGCTAACCACATCTACGACTACGACGGGTGCTCTGGCATCAGCGCCGGCCACAGACATCGTTGCGAGTGTTGCTTTCGCCCCAGCGGTGGCCACATGCCTGACTGCGAACGTAGCGCACGCTTCAGCGCAAGTCATGTTTCATTGCAGCCGAAGAGGGATCAGTGATACGATTGGCTCTGTTGCGGTGCATGTTGCTGTGCCGCTCCATTCTGGTGCATAGTTTGGATGCAGCGCGCGGGTGACACACTGGTGTCGCCGAACCGTTGGTTTGTTAGGTGCAATGGGTGAGGTAAGCTCTGGTGCACTGTCGACAGAGGCTGGGTCAGGTCAGGCTGGGGATGTGCCAGGTTCGGGGGGGGCTTGTAGCCATATTGGATCTCCCTTGCGCTGTCGTGGGGGCCTCTCGGGTCCTCTTGTGGCTCTCGTGCCATTCTCGTGGGAGCTTTGTGGACCCTCCCAAATTACGGCCCCCCCGTAGGAGCCCGAACGATTGCCTCTTGGGACGCTGTTGGGGTGTCACCGGAGGCCTTGTGGTCCATCCTGGGGCCCTTCCGTGATCCTCTCGAGTCTCTTTTCAGTGATCTTGGAGCCATTTGAAGCATCAAGAGCCCATCGGATCGAAAGGGTGTGAACGCGCAAGTCAAGTGTTTAGATGATTTCGACCTCTCGGGGGGCATCCTTGGTAGGCTTCATGGCCATCTCGAGCCGTTCTGTGCTGGTCCTAGGGCGCGTTGAAACATTGTGGAAGCCATTGTGAATCAACTTAGACTATTGTGCTCGACCTCGGAGGTCATCTTTGCAAATTCAAGGTTGTCGAGGAACTACGGTCCGCAGGCCCCAGGGCAAGGGGTCACGACCTAACGGGGGGTTTGACAGAGCTCTCTACAGCACGCCGTGTCCCACGGCGAGCGACCTTCGGCCATACGGAGCACGGCCTCGGTGGTCCAGAAGCCGCCCACGCGGGTCGAAATCTACCAAGAAGCAGTTGGCACGTTGTTTCGAGTCACGGTCCTGGTACTCCTCGCCTTCGCCCCCCCCACCCCCTCCCTAACTCTGGAATCATGTAGCAGCATGAACATATAAACTTCTAGAGCTCCCCCAGACTTCTTGGATCTTTGCTGGCCCCCTTCTGGCGGCGCCTCCGTCGCCGCCCCTGGCGCCACTCTCTGGTTCGGGTTCGTGGGCGAAACACATATCCGTATTCGCGGTCTCGTCGGCCAGCCCCTGGCGGGGCGTGCTTCGTGGACGTCCTTGCGCGGAACGTATCCGTGCGACTGCGCATCCGCGGAATCGCGCCCCGAAGTCCAGACTGCGAGGGCGCGGATGCGGATAGATTCGCCGCTCGTGGGATTCTGGAGGCGTCGCGCCCCCTTGCCAGGTGGCGTTGGTGGAGCACGCCACGCTGGCGTGGACGAAGGCGATCTCCAGCGTTCCCTTGGGCGCTGGCGACGTGGTGCCGCCGCCGCTCCCAGGGATCACGGGCACCTTGACCATCAGATGCCGATTTGTTCCGGTAGCGCTTGATCCGGTGGCGACCGAAATACAGAACGTCGACGCTCGAAACCGGTAGCGAGTGCCGTGCATGCACGATCGAAATTTCGCCTGAAAGTTGGTAGCGCGCTACCGAAATTGGTTTCAGCGCTACCGAATGGAGCGCGCGGTCGCTACTGAATTTCGTTCGGCGTTGCCGAGTTTCGAGAAGTTGCCACCGAACTTCGTGATCGCGATTATTGGATTTCGATGAGTGCTGATGTCGGCGGTAGTGTTGCAGCTTAGGACGGCGACGACGATTATGATGAGGATGATGATTATAATGATGCTGATGATGTTGATGACGAGGGTACTGCGATGAGATGCGGACGATGTTGACCATGATGATGATGCGGCAAACGACGGGGATCACACATTACAGCGATGATGGTGTTGTTGATGATGGTGATGACGACGGTGATGATGAGGATGATGACGACATTGATGGGATGATGATGCCAATGATTCCAATGATGACGCTGGTGGCACCGACGACCGCAATGGTGACATCGGGGATGATTTCGGTGATGATTATGATGATGATGATGATGATGATGATGATGATGATGATGATGATGATGATGATGATGATGTTGTTCATGGTCGTGCTGATCATGCTGATGGTGGTGGCGGTGATGGCAGTGAAGATGATGATGATGATGATGATGATGATGATGATGATGATGATGATAGTGATGAAACAGGTAACGGTGATGGCAATGCTGACGACGGTGATGATGACGGTGATGGTGGTGACGAGGATGATGATGATGATGGTGGTGATGATGGTGATGATGATTATGTTGAGTTCGATGATGATGATGATGATGATGCTGATGCTGATGATGATGATGATGATTATTATTATTATTATTATTAAGATTATGCTTATAATATTGATGATACTGATGCTGATGAGATGATGATGACGATGATGCTGACGATGACGATGAGGATGACGATGACGATGACGATGACGATGACGATGATGATGATGATGATGATGATGATGATGATGATGATGATGATGATGATGATGATGATGATGATGATGATGATGATGATGCTGATGCTGATGCTGATGATGCTGATGATGCTGCTGATGACAACGCCCACAGCTTCAGGTGCACGCCCTTTCCCAATTGCGCGCGCGTGGTTGCGGCGGGCGCGGCGCAACCGCCCGCGCCGCGCCAGTTCCCCCGCCTGCGACCTGCGGGAGCTCAGGACCTCCCCCGTTTCGCGCCGCTGCTGTGGCACTTGCCGGCGGCCGCCCGCGGCCTCCGCTACCAGATGCCGACCGCGACGCCGACGGGGACCGGTTGGGCGCAGCACGCCCCCGACGGCGCGGTCTTGGTGGACCGCGGGCGGCGCGCCGCCTGCGCTTGCCCAACCCTGAGCCCTCGCGCCGGCGCGGTGCGGTCGTCTGCCAGGCGCGGAATTCGGAGGCAACGACAGGGGGGGATAGGCGGAGGGGGGATGCATCGACCCCCAATCGCCCATTGATCGCCGATAGGGGCCCGATGGCCCCAACCTGCCCAGGAAGGTGCGGATTCTCAATCGGAGGCCTACCGCCGATCTATCGGCGATGTATCGCCAATTCAAGGTCGATGCATCCCCCCCTGTGCCAGTCCCCCTCTATCGTTGCCCCTCAGGAATGGCCGCGGCGTCTGCGCCCGGGGGGCGCGGTGGCGGGGAGAATGATTGGGCGGGCGGGTTGACGGCCTGGCATGGGGTCGGGGGTGGTACATTTTTTGGGGTGGTCCGCAGGCAGATCGAGCATCCGCGGCTTGCGGACGCCAGGCACTACGCATGCTCTGGCCATTGAAGGTGGATAACTATATGGAGAATATCGCGATGGCGATGACGGCGATGATAAGATTGGTGATTCACGACGGCGGCGGTGATGATCATGGGCGGATGGGGCGGTGGGGATTATGATGGCGGCGACGGTTGCAACAGTTGCGATGGCGGTTGGATGGTGCTTGCGATGAGTTTGTTTATTTTGCGTCGTTTTCGCATATCTCAATCCCGCTGGCCGTCCCTCATTGTCAGAGTTCCTTTCGCTTATCTTGAGCCCTGCTGCGTTCGCGCCCCCCCCCCCCCCCTCCGGGCGCAGCCAGCCCCCTCTGCGCGCCGCCTCAATTTCGCGAAGCCTTGTCGCTCGGCGCTCGCGTTTTTCGGGGCTCGTCGACAAGATGCGACGAGGCGCGGCGCGAGGAAGGCCTCCGTGCTTCACCAGAACCAGTTGTTCCCCAAAGACAGGGCGGTCCACGGCAGGCCCTTGCGGCTCGTGGCCCCGTTGGCTGGGTTCGTCTTGTTCCCGCGCTTTCCCTGGCTGCACGCGCGATGACGACGGCGACCTCGCGGTCGCGAGCGGATGCGGCGTCCGCGGCGAAGGGCGACGGGCGGACGGGGCGGCGGGCGGCATTGGCAAATCGCCTCCACAGGCGGAGCTTCTGATCCGCAACACCGCGCGCGCAAGTCTGGAATGCGCCTTCGCGACGGCGCGCAGGGCCCTCGTCCCCATTCTTGGCGAGTTTCATATCCCGAATGTCATGGTGATGTCGGCGTTGGCGAGAATGAGCGCACTGGAGATCACTGCGACGATGACGATGCCGACGAAAACGACCATCACAAAGCCCTCTGCCTCGCTAGCGATGGTGGTGGTGACAGTGCTATCGTGGATGGTCGCGCTGGTGGCTGGTGATGGCGACGATGAGGACGTTGGCGATGCTGATGGCGATGCCAATTTCGACCATGGCGATGATCATAATGACGACCGTGACCCCCCCAGGCCCCGATCACAGCCCTGCTCGAAGGCCCAAGCTAACCCGTCAAGATGCGGGCGGGTTCCCTCGCGATTTCTCTTTGCCAAGAACCGAAGTTCCAGAGGGTGGAGATGCCAGCGTCAGGCGGGGAGTGAGGATGGACGAGGAGTTGCCTGGTGGGGGGTGCCAAGAGTCCCAGGCACTGGGCGTGCCGGGGCCGGGCGCGGGGTCAGGGTGGGATCCGGGCCAGAAATTTGGCACAGAGTCTAGAGAGGGCGGACGTCGCCAACGCATGAATTCGGCACATTGGCTGGCGAGGGAGGATGTCGCCAACTCCTCAAGGGTCGGGGTCGCGTCCAGGCCGGCATGGTGACTAGGTGAAAATGACAGGCGAGGACCGAGCCGTGATCTGGAGCCTCACGGTTCCAATTGGACACGCTTTGGGGGTCGACGGATTGCGTGGTTCACTGTTGGTGCTAACGAAATCGCGGGGGGGGGGGGGCGTATTGTTTGCTTCCCAGGGTTATCCACGAATTGACGGTGACCAACAAGGGACGGTTACTAAGATCGGCACCGACGTTTCAGCATTCAGTCTTGGTCATGGTCACCGTGTTCTGTCTCAGTTTCCATCGTCGTTGCAGGTGTTGTTGCCGCTAGCCGGTCATCATTTTCCCCAGCCTTGATGTCCTCGCCATTGTTTCCGTTGCTCCAGACCTCGGCACCTCGAGAGACCTCGTCGCCCGGAGGTGCTGATTGCGGGCCGAGCGGAATACGCGGCGAACATGGTGGAAATCTTACGCCTTTGTAAGGAGAAAGGCTGCCGCTGCGGAGGTGGTCGACGATGACGGGGAAGAGAAGGAAGGAGTTTGGGAAGCATGACAAGCAGGAGGACGGTGACTCGGTGACGAATCCTTCCCTCTGCGTGGACAGGGGAGGGTCTGAGAGTCCGCTACTGCTCGCGTAAAGCTCTCAAACCCCGTGCTTCGCCAGGAGGGACTCTGGCTTGGCTAATCCTTAAGCCGTCGAACCCACGCCTCCTCCTCCTCCTCCCAAGGGTGACCCCCAGTTTAGGTTGAGATATGAGCAGTTGTCCAGCTTTGCTACCGCCTGGGGGACCTTGGATCACAAGCAGAGGATGGTGATTTTACAGACTTGGAATTGTATTACAACTAAGCTCTCGAGTACTAAGCATCGTTGGCAGGTCGTGCGAGGCCCCACAGCTGCCACCAGTGCTACCCTCATGGACCTCCAGTGGGACCCCGTGTCGCCGGTTGTTTGGAAAGCGAAGGGTTGCAGCCTCCGCGTTACCGATGATGATTGCGAAGGCCTTACGGCCGGTGCCGCCGACCCTGACGACGAAGATGAAAACGAGGATGAGGATGAGCAGGAGGAGGAGGAGGAGGAGGAGGAGGAGGAGGAGGAGGAGGAGGAGGTAGAGGAGGAGCAAGAGGAGGGGAGCAAGGCGGGAGGGAAGGAGGAGGAGGAGGAGGCCCCCGGGGCGGAGTCGTATCTGACCCCCCCATCCCCCCCCCCCACCCCCCCCGGGACCCCCCCCCCGACGGGGGAGGGATCAAAGGGAAGGGGCTTCCCTTTGACGTGGTTACGACGTGGGTCGATTTCCCACAAGGCCGCTAGAGCACTGCAACGACGACTGTGACGACGACGACGACGAGGACGAACAACCCCTCACACACGCCGAAACAGGGTCGGCGGATTTCCCCATCGCGCTCTGGAGCCAGCTGCTCGACACTTGCTCTGCGTAGTCTTGGCAGAAGGCGTCGCTGCATTACATGGGCAGAGAGGATCCGAGGATGGGGTGGATTTCGCGGTGAACAGGAGGATACTGGGGAGAAAGAGGCAGGTGGGATCCTGCGCAACGTCATCACGGCTGGCTACTGGACTGAGTCTCGTTTGGTGGCCGTTGGGTCAAGGTGCGGCGCCTCAGATGAGACGCCCGAACATCGGTTCTGGGCTTGTGATTGCAGTAGCCTCATTCCCGATCAGGTCGTGGAGCGAACCGATCGATTGGCTGCTAGAGTTCGTGCCGAGCTTCAGCTGACGTGTCTCGGGTACCGAGGGCTCCCTCCCTGCTATGTTTTTGCAATCTGGGGGGGGGGCCCACCCAGCCAAATGGTACCCCCCCCGAAGCCGTGTAGCCGTGGCCCCAGGAGCCCTTGGACGTTTTTGCCGAAGGTCCCCCCCGGGCTTTCCGGGGCTCCTGGAAGCCCCCGTTGGGCCTGGGGAGCGGGCCCACATCGGTCAGAAGGGAGGCCGAACGGCCCCGCAAGAACCCCAAGAGGCCCCAGGCACCCACCAGACGCCCGAACACGACCCAAAGAAGACCCCCAAGAGGCCTTCGAAAGGAAACACATTGATTATCTGTTGGTTTTTGCGTGATTTCGGAAAGATCTATCCGTTCTTCGGTTTTCTTCCGGGCATCCGAGATCGCCCAGGAGCATGGAAAATCTCCTCAACATTTCCCAAAAGGGTTTCCAGGCAGTCCCAGAGAGCCCCGAGGCGACCCAACAGCCGAAGAGAGCCCCATGACGACCCAAGATGGCCCCAAGACGCCCTCGAAACATTCTAAATCGTGACCCGGTCGTTCAGGGAGACCGCTGTTGGACTCAGGGTGGCCCGAGGAAGTCCCAAGAGGCCCCCAGAAGGAACTCAGGAGGCCTCCATGAGGCCCCAAGAAATTCGCAAACACTTTCGTCAGACCCCCAAGAGGCTCTCCAAGGATGAGCTTCCTCAGAAAGAGCTGATACAAATAGGGAATAACGAGTTCTATGGCGAGATGTGGGAGGAGGAAGAGGAAACATGAGGCAAGGAAGCGAGGATTTCAACAAAAACAACAAGGAGTTATCGTTCATGTTTCGATTTAACAGTTTTTCCCTTCCGCCTGCATGCCAAACTGCAAGGACCAATATGCATGACGCGCCAATGCAGTCTTGTGTGTCTCTATATATATATATATACATGCTGTCTTGTGTGTCTACATAAATACACATATATACATGTGTGTGCACGCACGCAACAGTGAGGGTGTGCGGTCTCTGTCCACGCCAGGGTCGCAGGGCAAAGCTGGCGCGGCGATCTCTCGGCACCAGCGAGGGTGTCATGAAGTGGTCCATGCGCGCGGTCTCGATCAACTTCAGCTCGTGGGCGTGTCAGGTATGCCACTTTCGCGATCCAGAGGTGGCGCGCAGGGGGTAGTCCCTGAACGCAGTCTCTATCCACGCCAGGGTCGCAGGGCGTGGCTGTCGTGGCCTGACGCCCAAAACGGGGTGCACAGGAATCTGCCCCTGAACTAGGAGCGCCAGGGCGGTCGCGGGGACGTCCGCAGCGGTCCTGTTTGCCCCGTTTTCTTGCTGTTTTCTTCTTGTGCGCTACACCGCTGGGACAAGTTTTTCCAATTGTTCCCCACCTGTTTGTTCTGTAGCTGTTTTAAAACATTACGCGGGGGGAGGAAGAGGCGCGGCGAGCCCCACGCAGGCTGCTCGGTGAAGGTGGCGCCCTCGGACTCCACGGGCCAGGCGTGCGCCCCGAGTGCGCGGGGGGTCGTTTTCGGGCACGCGCAGAGGGGGGTAGGCGGAGGGGGGAAGGTTTCTTAGACGGAGGCTGCTTCTTAGAAGGCGCTGGCCTCACATCTACCACAAGACCCGCGCCTTCTAAGAAGCAGGGGTGCTTCTAAGAAGCTTCCCCACTCCCCAAGCCCACATCTGCGTGCCGCCAACCTGCGTTTTTTCTTTCTCTGGCACGGTGGGAACGTTTCGTACCAGCCCGACTTGTGGCTTTGGGCATGATGTGCGCATGTGGAACCATATCGTTGCACAATACCGTGATTTGGAGCCGGCTGGGCGAAGTCCGCGGTTCTGGGTTCGGATCGATTGTGTATTGCTCTTGGCCTCCAGGGGCCGTCTTCGAGCCCCAGGACCGTCAGAAACGGATCCAAGGCGAAAACTTTGACGAGATGGACCCCGGGAAGGGTCTGGGTGTGGGGGACCGATTTGGCCCGACTTGCCTTCCCCCCCCCCTCTCGTGACCAATTCTTTCGGGGCCTAGCCAGCTCAGACGCCCTGGCCGCCTCTAACTCCAGGCCTCCTCTCTGGCACAGAAGGGATCAGTTCGTGCCAATATGAGTTGGGACTTTGTGCATGATTGGCGCGTGTGGGAGCATTGCGTTGTACAGCACTGTCAGCGTCCACGCGCCTTCGGCGTATGACTTGTGTGCGCGTGTGCGTTCGGCATTCGAGCATCAAGTTTTCCATTTCCAGCTGCCTGCAACAAGTCCCGCCACCGTGCCGGTTCAGCATTCCGTTTGGTGAAGTTTCGAGCGTTGTTCAGGAGGCCGCAACATGTGACACGGGGCTCTCTCGCGAGATATTTTCGCCCCACTGTCACCGTCTTGGAGCCGTCTCGGGTCGTTTGGCGCTCCTCTTGACCGTCTGCTGAGTCTCTTGGGGCTGTCTTGGAGCCCTCTTTTCTCATCTTGGGGCCCTCCTGGGCTGTGATGGGCCCTTTTGGCCGTCGTGGGGCCCTCTTGGATCTGTCCTGGGCCGTCAGGCGGATCTTGTTGGGGTCTCATTGGGTTTTTCTGGTGTTTCGTTGGCTCTTGAGCTGAAGGCTCCAGGAACTTTGAGGTCATACGCGCGCCCGCACACGCGCGGGATGCCCGACTCCTGTGTGCGTTGCGAGCAAGGTGCAGGTGGCAACGCAAGGCCGTGTACACCGCTACGCGTGTGAGCACCACAGCGGCATGCGAGCACCACAAAATACTTGATAGCAGCACAGCGTGCTTGTAACCACCTGACGGCGACGGGAGCTGGTCCCCAAGAGCCCGCAAGCAGAACAACGTTCCTGCACACACCGCAGTGAGCGTGCGAACGTCATCACAACCATACGTATGCACAACCGTATGCCCGACCTTGCCAGCATGCGGGCATGGCAAAAGTTTATACGAGAATCATAATGGGAATGGAAGCCAAAACGCTTTTGAAACAGTGCGGGCGGGGACCGAGACAGTAAGTTGCATGCGCCTGTCAATGTTGCTGAACACTACCGCGCACTCGTTGCGAGATGTATGGCAAGCATTTCATTAGGGGAACGAAGCCGTAAGGCGTAAATTGAGACCACCCGCGACCCAATGAGGGGTCAATGTGGAAGCACGCACCAAGACATTAAACTGCATCCGCCTCTCAATGTCGCCACCCGGCGCGCGAACTTATAGAAGATATAGCGATAGCGTGGCCATGGTGCACGCTTGCGCACGCCGCCAACACCGAAAGTCTGGCAACACTTGATGACCCTTTTTGTTGGTGCCGTCCTTCTCTTACCCTCCAGTGTGATCATCGTTTACGTGTTGTTATAACTTGTCTCCCGGCTGTGTAGCCAGCGAGCACGACATTGTGCTTGCCAGCGCAACAGTATGCCAGAAGTTCTGCCAGTACCGCAAGGAATTGCATCTACCACGATGCATGCGCGCACCGCGGTATTCTGCGAGCACCGCGGTATTATGTGAGCACTTGCGCCGCACGTGGGGACGCTAGCATCACACGTATGTGCCACAGTGTATGCCCGCGAGCACTTTTACCTGTTCGCGAGCACCAAAGGGTGCTTGCGAACAACAGCAGCATGACACGCACACCGTTTGCATCACAGTATGCCAGATTTTGCGATCAGTACATGTGTTTTCGGGCTCCACACCATGCCATTCAACACCTCGATGGCCCTCGAGCAGCACAACGCGTTTACGGTCATTCCAGTCCGCTTGTTGACAAGTGCCAGCAACACAGACATGCACAGTTGTATTATTGCCCTTGTCAGCAGCATGCATTTTTGAGAACGACCTAGTATGTTGGTGAGCGTCACAGGACTTGCGAATACCGCGACGTCTCTGTGAGCGCCACTGGGATTCGCATATCACATCTCAAGGCCCGTCCCTCACCAGCTTGTGAGAGCCCCCTGTGTTCCATTTTGCCTTCTCCTCCTGGTGTTCTTTGTGAGCACATGACTGGCCTGCGAACACCGCGGCGTGTTAGTGACAACCCACCGAAACCCTACCAAACGTGCCATGGGGGCACGGTGAGGCGAGATGCTGGTACCAAAAGAGAGCGCCGCACACATGCCAAAACACTACTTCAATCACTTTGCTAATTTCGCCGGCCCATGTTGCATCACTAGTGGCGTTTGGGTATGTTGGGAAGTGAGGTGTGTGTGAGAGGGTAAGCCCACGAGGGGTCACACAAGTGCACGTGGAACGGAGCGTTCATGTCTACGGAGGCATCGGATAAATCTGTAAGGGCAGGGGAGCCTCTGAGGGAATCATGGAAGTCTCAGGGATGAATCCTGGGGCTCATCGGGGGTGTCTCAGGGGCAGTTGGGGACTCGCGGGCCCTTTTTCGGTGTTGCATTGAGCCAGTTGGGGCCACATTAGGTTTGGGGAGCGACCTTGCATTGCGATATCCCGTGCTATATGCGTCTATGGATGTCTTTGTTTTGGTTGTCGTGCTTCGGAGCTCTGTCTGGGGCTATCCCTTCCAGCTCTTCTGAGCTCCGATTGGAGCTATCTTGTGCGATGTTGGAGCCATGTCGAGGCTTGAGAAGCCCATAGGACACGAAGAGGGGAGCAATCAAAAGTTACTGACAATGCATGGTTGTTTGAAGGATTTGAGCCTCCCGGGGGCCTCGTCAGGACTTTCGTAAACCATCCTGGGCCAACTTGGGGTTATCTTGGGGCGTTCGGGGTGCTGTTTAGGGAAGATCTTAGAACATGCCACCCATGGATCCGCAGTTTTGCGCCGTTCTGGTGCAGTGATAGTAGGAGCTCTCTGGCCACTCACGGACCGCTCTTGAGAGTCTTCGGAGCCTTCTTCGAGCCTATTCAACCTCAACCTGGAACCAGCTTGGGCATTGTTGGAGCAATCCTGATGCCTGAGAGGCCCATAGGAAGCAACAAGGCTAGAACGCCGAATTCATTCGCAAGGCAAGTTTTTGCCAACCATCTGTACTGTTGGGTGCTCGTTTTGAATCAGCAGCGGCCCGCGTCTCCTCCTCTCCTCTCCCCTCTCCTCTCCTCTCCTGTTCCCCCTCCCTCCTCGCATCCCTGTGCCAATTTCGGCACACACACACACACACACCACACGATCCGTGGCCCCATAGGGAACTCCGCCGAAGGCCCCATTGGCAGCATCCGCACGGCGGCGCCGCACCCATGTGGGCACACCCCTGACACGCTTCGTGACCCCCATGGGGAGCTCCGCCGAAGGCCTCCGTGGCAGCGTCCGCATTATGGCGATGCGGGCCCTGCTTCGGAAGGGCGTTGTTTCTGGCCTCGGTCCTGCCACTCTGGCCAGGCCCTTCATAGCACGACTATTTGGGATGCTCGAACATGGTATGCCCCCCCCCGTCCCTCACCCTTGCCCTGGAGGAAGACCAACTGCATGAACAAGAACTGTCGGATGTCCGCGCGGGTTTCGTGGATGTGCGCTGCACCCCACCTTGGCGCGCGGAGCGCTCTAGGGGCGGCGCCAGAGGCGCTGCCAGTGGGCCGCAGCGCCGATCCAGGACAGCCGCGCGGAGTCCAGGACGTGTATGTTCATTAGATGCTTTCTTGCCACAGTTTCTTCTGCTTCCCAGGTATCCTCCTCGTCTTCCTGTCCCTCGTCCTCCCCCTTCTCATCATCTTGCCAGGTGGACGTCGACGGACTCGCAAGGCAGGTTTTTCTTTCGCCAGACCCTGCTGTAGCGCCTTTTGTCGCGCCAGCGTATCGGGTTCCACTCGCTTGTGTTCCTTGTCGTTCGTGCAATCGTTGCCGCGTTTCTCTTTTTCAGAGGGTCGAAGACGACAGCATACAAACACTTTCAGAGCTCCGCGCGGAGTTCATGGCTCGGCGCTGGGCCCCCTTTGCAGCGCCTTTTGGCGCCGCCCCTAGCGCGCAAGGGAGGGGAGTCCGGCGCAGATCCAAGAGTTCTGCGCACACCTCCCAACACTCATATGTTTACAGCTGCTTCTCCTTTAGAGGGGGTGCGGGCGGTAAGTGTGGAGCCCAGACTGGGCTCCGTGGTTGCATCGGTCATGTGATAAAGTCATGCCACCAGCAGTGTTGCAGCGTTTCTTGACAGCAGTTCATGCGATTCCTACAGGCTCAACGCACAGCGTGCATGCTGTTTGTGAGGCGGTATGTTCGGCAGTCCTTGCGTTTGCATGTTGATTCCGCGTCGTGTTTTGCGTTGTGTTTTTACTCGCGATCGGCAGCAGCCTTGCAGAGTAAATTACCCCAGCATTAGTTGCTATGCTATGATATGCCATGCCATGCTATGTTATGTTATGATATGCAATGTCATGCTGCGCTATGATATGCTATGTTGTGCTAAGCTATGCTATGCCATGCTGCGCTGTGTTATGATAAGTCATGCTAGGTTATGCTATGTCAAGCTGCGCTATGCTATGCTATGATATGCTATGCTATGCTGCGCTATGTTGTGCTATGCTATTATATGCTATGCTTGGCTACGCTATGCTATGCTATGCTAT